GGAGGCAAGTTTTAATTAATGTTTGCACCTTCATACTCAAAATATGAAGAATTATTTTATTATCTGAGAAGGGGTCACAAAAAGAGACAACACAATCAGCATCTGAATAAAAGTTCATCCTGTTCCTCCTCTCAAGCCCCATCTCCTGAACTGAAGTCAGGAAGACATGCATAAACATGCTTATTTATTCCTGATATTGCCGCAGTTACTGATCGTCAGCAGATTAAACATGCGACCCTCCTGTCTCTGGACAGCTGATGATGAACCAGCTAAACAAAAACACCAGCTGGTTATAAACTAGCCAAATGTACTTCTGAGGCTAATGGTAGGCCTCAGAAGTACATTTCCTCCCAATAAAGTGTTTGATTACATTCTCACATTGCATGAGAGTCCAACAATTCTGGATCCGCTTAAAAGAAAGTTTCACTAATGCCAGCTAACAGCAGCTAACACAGGCAAAAATAGCACTGATGATCAATCATTTGTCACATTATAATTGGTCACACTGATATAAATAGTGTTTATCACAGTTGGATCTTGGAGTTGATGGCAATATTTGAGTGAAGATGAAGCTGAAATGATTTAAAGACTGTAAAACAACGAAATGCATTTTTCAGTGAGTTTTTTGGTGCAGCTGTAGACAGTTTGTCTTCTGAACATTTTGCGGAAATTTGTTCAAAGATTGAAATTTGACATTTGAAAGGTATGGTGTCTGATCCTTCCACTCAAAATCACACAAATCAACCTCGGTAAGTCGACCCAGAACTGGATACACGCAATGGATCAGCAAACTGTGTCATCCGTCAGTCGTGTTTTATCTCTTTCAACTCTGTCAGTATCACAGGTCCATCAGTAAACATCTGAGCTGTTTCTCCAGATTTCTATATTCAGTTTCTATCACCTACAGTTTGTCCCTGTCAGGTTAAATGTACTGAGGTTCCTTATCCAGCAACAGAAGCATAATATGTGTTTTCTCTCTCTATCTCTTTCTCTTACTAGGCCCTGAGAGATGTGAAGGGGAAATGAATGTTTTACTGGTGGGCAGTGGAGATCCACGACATATTTTAAAGACCATTGCCGGTTTGCAAGACAAACAAAGTGTCCATGTGAGCCTAAGTCTTTTAAAACTGCAAATGGCTAACAATACTTTGAGCTTCAAATAACTTCTTTTTGCCACACTGCAGATATGGGTCATAGAAAACAACATGGAGGTGGTTGCCAGACAGCTGCTGCTCCTCTACCTGGCACTGATTCCTCAGGACAGCATGGGGATTAATGGTACATGGGAGTTGGATAAATTATTCATTTTATTAAAGCAAGATATGTTGTTGTCCATAAACCAGTGGGGTTTTTTAATCCTTATTTTAAATCTTTAGAGAAGACCGAAGTTTTCCTAGAGGTGTTTGGAAACGCAGAAATCCGCAGTCAGGCAGAAGAAGTACTGCAACGTGTAGCATCACAACTTTCTCTGTCCGTTACTGAAACGATGGCAACGCATGCCTGTCTGAACACAACTCTCCTTAAGGTACAAACATCTGCTGAAAGAGCTTATTTTTACCTAAACAGCCAGACATTGCAGCTTGCTCAGTATAACCTGTAGTGCACTGCACATAATCATTAAAATTTGTAAGTGTAAGTGCTTTACACATTCAGAAAAAGCTTCAAAATTTTATTCACTGAGTATGGACACTTTTTACAGTTTAAGGAGCGAGACGAACTGGACATGATATTTAAGTCATGGATCCAAACTCGGTCTTCATCACCAGAGCGTCCTGCTCCTATCATGTCTAAAGCTTGGGATTATCGAGTCAGGCAACACCTCGGGACACGCTATGACTCCAAGAAGGGCTGCTTTGACTGGGATCTTACAATGAAGCTTCATGAGAAAGGGGTATCTGAGTAGTTTCTGCACATTCCTCTGGTGTGGCCAGAGATTTTGCAAATAAAAAGTTGGTTAAAGAAATTCAAATATATGTTTGTTTCCTGATTGTCTGCAGTGTGGCGTCATCAACAGACAGCAATACATGCGATGGAGGGAACAGGGACTGGCATTCGAAATGAGGGAAGGCGTCTATCAAATAACTAATCCTAGTTTGCTGTCTTCAAGAGTCTTTAGTCAGGTAATTACATATTGGTTTTTTCTACATCGCTCTTCTACAGTGCCGTGAATTTTTCCCTTCAATGATTTTTTTTTGTCACGTGTTTCACATTTGGGATCATTAAAGAAATCTTAATATTCGACCAAGATACACTGTGTGGATAGAATATGCAGTTTTTAAATTATGATTTCATTTATTAGGAGGAAGAAAAACTATCCAAACATGCCTGGCCCTGCTTGAAAAAGTCATTGTCCTCGTATTGTTTTAATTCAGCCACTGGAGGATTTTAAGTATGAACAGACTTGTTTAAAGCTTGTCAAAGTAACGCAGTCTGATTTTAGTCCAGACAAACCTTCCAAAAAGTTCAGCTTTTGACTCATCATCAAGATGTTTTTTGGCAAACATGAGAGAAGCCTGTTCTTTTTGGTCAGCAGTGGTTTTCATCTCGGGGCTCCTGTGGATGCCATTTCTGCTTAGTCTCTTTCTTATTGTTGAATCATGAACTCTGACCTTAACTGAGGCAAGTGAGCCCTGCAGTTCTTTAGATGCTGTTCAGGGTTTTTTGTGCCCTCTGGATGAGTCATCGATGTGCTCTTGGAGTAATTTTAGTAGGCTGGCAAGGTTCACCCTGTTTCATGTTTTGTTCATTTGTGGATAATAAGGACTCTAACTGTGGTTCACTGGAGTCCCAAAGCCTAATAAAATTCTTTGTAACCATTTGTAGATGATAGATAGAGAAGCCTGCTCTATCTATCACCTAAACAGAACAGACAGGTTCTGTTTAAATGATTTCATGATCCAGCAGGTCTGGCATTAATCAGGCCTGAGTGTGAAGGAGAAGAAATTGAACTCAGCCATAAAGAATGTGGTTATCACAGTTCATTCATGATTCAACAAAAGGGGCAATGCCTTTTTCACACAGGGCCAGATAGGTAAGCATAACGTTTTTTCCCCTAATAAATAAGACCATCATTGAAAACCTGCATTTTGTATTTACTCGGGTTATCTTTGTATTATATTTAAAATGAGTTTGCTGAACTGAAACATGTAAGTGTGACAAATGTGTGAAAAACCATATCAAGAAATCAGGAAGGGGCCAGCTACTTTTTCACTTCACTGTAAACAGTAAGTTGACGAAGGAAGCTAATTTTGGTCATGTGTCTGTACAGAAAGGAGACAAAGTAGCCATCAGGGGATACTGGGGAGACATTGTTTCTAGTCCCTACCTGTCCTTTGGCATTGAAACTGATGACAAGAGTCTGCTGAAGACACAGAATGGGCAACCCATTAAGGTAAAACATACAAAGTTTTCTGTCTTTTTCTGTCTTCATTGCTGGAATCAGTGTGCGCACATCTCTAAACACATTACTGTCTGTCTGTTGTCATCCATCCTGTTCTCACATCCACAGACCGCCCAGGATATCTCTTTCGCAAATCTGCAAGGATTGTTCCAGTCCCTGTCCAGCAGACGGGGCTGCCCTACTACTTCTCAAACATACACCGATGCAGAGGACGGCACATCCATACGGACTGTCAGTATTAAAGGTGAAATGCTAAAAGGCCTTCAGCTTTAGCTTTGATTAAAACCAGAGTGTAAAACCACTGTGACAAAAAGACCCTTAAAGTGATGTGAAAGGTTGGTTTCTATTTTTATATGTTCTTTCATTTTGTTCTTTTGGACAACTTTAAGAGAAGTTTAAAGGGGAATGAGGTGCTCCAGCTATTTACTGTATTACTTCCTGTCTTCATGCAATATGTTTTGATGTTTCATTTCCAGAAAATAGCAACTAAAACCAGCACTGCGTTTTCTCTAATCCCATTCAGACTTGATGTATCCAAATGGGATCTCTGTCACCTTCCTGCCTTTGGACTCATTTCACAAACTGCCTGAGAAACAGAAATATTCCCAATTCTTCAACACCATTTACTTCTCCGCCAGGTGGATTTTTCTTTAAATGAATACGAAATATATTAAGTCATCTTGAAAAAATATTCCTTTAGCATCCAGTCACCTGGACTGCACACTACTGATATAACTGCTGACCATGTTTCGTTCTCTGTGCTTTTGCTTCCTTCTCTGCCTCTGCTGTAAAGCTTTGTGCACCAGTTGGGCCCGATGATGAGACAGATTGCAGCACCAGACGCTGTGCTTGTCGTGGAGTTGGCCAAGTGAGGGTTTTTTTAGTAACACAGGGCTCGTTACCATGGCCACCAGGACTACAGTGACTGCCGTGTATCGGCATTTGCATATGAGATATTTTGAGTTTGCCACATATTCCTTATAATTCAATTGTGACACTGTTCTTGAAAGTTAATAGCGACAGCGATTGCCATATTTGGATTCACAGTGCATTCCTGTGTCATTATGTGTGTCTCAGGTACATTTTGGATCTGAATAAAGAGCAAGAAGCTGGCTTTGCAAAGAAAGTAGAGGACATCGCTTTAGAGGCTGGATTTGAACCTTTGCATGAAGGGACCAGTAATGACGTCCACGCCGTCTTCGTACAACACATAAAGTAGAGATGTTCATATCGCAGCATAGCTGTTTACCAAGATGCGAGAGACACTTAGCATAATAAAGCCATACAACAGAGACATTTCACATCTTGTTTATCAGCAGTTTGCAAACCAACTAGGAGGAGCTGTCAGATGCTTCAGATAATAATTCATATTTGTTTGGTAGCAACTATGAATTAATAATATTTCACATCTTGTTTAAATGAAACCATTACAGCAGTTCAAATATATTTATATGTGTATTTTAATGGCCACAAATGTAAGTATAAGTTGATGTATTCAAATAAACCCTACAGGAAGCCATTATTTGAACACTGCAAAGGTGCTGGAAGTTTGTCCTGGAACTAGTGAACCATCCTCTTGTTTGTTTATGCTTCCTGTGTGTGTCTGTGTGTGTATGAAGTCACTTCCAACGTCCTCCAACTTTTCCCTTGCCATGTCCCTTTTTGCTGCATTAAGAAAAAAGAAGATTAAAAGGAGATTGTAAACAGTAGTTCACAGAAGATCAGCGAAATGTAAGAGAGTAAAGTAGTGCTAGTTCCTCTTTCTGCTCTGTCGCTTTATTTAAATATATTAAATAAAGTGTGTGTGTGTGTGTGTGTATCCTGTTCAGAAAGTAGCAAGATCTTAGATTGTTGTGTTTCCTGTGCGTGTGTGGTTGTTGCCAGTGACCTGTGAAATCTTTGCATAGTCAAAGATGTGCAAAGAGTTAATCTACCTACAACCCTGCACTTAGCTCCCTTGTTTTGTGGGTAGATTGAGACAAGCCGTCTGACTCACAATTTCTGAGCGTGTTGGATCCTGTTCAGGAGGACATTGATCTGAAAAAGAAAAAGTACATAAGAATATAATGTCTCCGATTTCTAATATAAAAATCTTAAATATTCCCAAGTAAAGGGCTAACCTCATATTTCTGTCTCTTCATCTTCTCAGTCAGATCAAACTTTTCTGACTCCAGCTGGTGGATCCATTCCCACATCTCCTTGGCTCGCTCTCTAAAACACAAAAGGCATTACAGCTTGTGTCTAAGGCTTAAACAATTGTTTGCCTCAGGCTTATCCAGCTGATGTATCTCTAACATGTAGCTAAATAAAAATGTAATCCAGTGAAGGCTTTAACTGACCTCAGGCCATCCTCTTTCAGGCTCTCAATTGCCAGTGGCTTGCGTCTTTCTGCCAGTGTCTTCTTTTTGATTTCCCTTGCAGTTTGTCTTTTACCCCGTTTCTGCTCTGCCTGTAAGAAACCACCGCTCTTGCCCAGTCACATCAGCCTAGAAATGCACCTCACATATCTGCAGAATATAGCGGTACGCCTGCCCACAAATGAATCACTTGAATCCCTCTGACCTTTGCTAGGAACCCTCCAAAGTGAGCGCCCATGTTGGAGAGAACTTTCTTCTTCTTGGCCTCATCATCTGCTCTCTTCTTTGCCTCTTCATCCTCTTTCCTCTGCCGCTCCTCCTGAGTTGCATCGTCACTTAAATTATTCTTTTCTTTGTTGGATTATTGATATTTTCATGGAATAAGCAACATATGTGTTAACATAATTCATTACCGCTATCCGTGTCTGTCTATCCCGCTCTTTTTCAGCCCTTACACGCTGCTGCTCAGCTCTTTCTGCCCTCCGGCTTTCCTACGTTGAAAAAAAAAACAACTCTGCTGCTTTACTCTCTATTAGCCTGAATGGTGACTGCACCCTGACAAATCCCTTTTTCATACAAACAAGTGAGGGGAAAATAGACAAACATGCAAAACAAGAAAATAGTATGGGGAAGGGCATTACAATTCTTGCTTTGAGTCCAATCAATTCCTCCTCTTCTTTCTTCCTCTGCTCAAAGTGGACCTCAATCAGTGTCTGTAGTTCCAGAAGATCTTTTTCCATCCTTTTCCTATGGATATCCTAGCATGGGAGAAACTTACTGGGATTACTTATGTTTGGTTTTCGTGTAATGTATTTCTTTTCTTAAACAATGATATTAAGGCACTTACATCAAAGTCAACCCTCTCTCCCTCTGGGATTTTTGGTGCACCGAGTTGCGTAAGTGGCCTGTAAAACCACATGAAGGCGTACTGATTTGCTATGCTTTGTTTTTTACTAATCAAATCATTTTGAAAGCTCACAGCATAATATTCTTGTATTTTCTTACTTGTATTTGGGCCGTTCTTCTTCAGTATGGCAACCAGAAAAGTAATGAAACAGTAAATCAGTTATTATCATCATTATTATTATTGTTGTTATTGTTATTAGAATAATCAAAAATACATCTTGAAACAGAAAAGCTCAAGTTAAACCAAGTTTATATCAGACAGGAAGCTGTTTATCTTTATCTTATTCTAACCATCTCACACTCAACGTCGCAAAGACAAAGGAGTTGATAGTGGACTTCCGGAGGTGCAGAGAAGTACACACCCCCATCACCATCAACGGCGCTGCTGTGGAGAGAGTGAGCAGCTTCCGGTTCCTTGG